CAAAACTAAAGCCGCATTTGGTATAATCTGAGAATAAAAATATTTTTGCACCATGCTACGATAAATCAGTCAGACAAGTGCAGAGTTCACTTTGCGCATATTTTTTTATAATTTTATTTTAACAAATATTAGACAGACTGACGTTATATTTTTAAATTCTTAGTTCAGAAGCAAAGACAGCACAAAGCTGGCAAAATGCATATTTTGGAATAAATTCAGCAGACTAATAGATACATAATTCGATTTTTGCATAGATAGTGTTTGAGATGAAAACAAAAGCATAACAAACTAAAAAAAAAAAGAGGAAAAATAATGCTTTACGGAATAGAATGTAAAGGATTCCATATACATTTTTTGGACTTTCTACAAACTGCTTTTCTACAAATTTTTCCATGTCACTGAACCGAAGCACTTAATCGATTCAGTGGAAAGCAAGCAATCGGCAAAATTACAACATGAAAATGTTGACGGTTATGGGAGTTTGCAAATTTCAAACATTTTCCTGCTGTTGCTTCCCAGAGCGGTACATGAGATAAATTTAAATTTAAAAAGGCTACATAGAGTTATCCCCCTTAGAGTAACTGTGGTAAAAGCAAAGTACTTGAGATTGGAATGCAAAAAATGAAAATATCAGCAGCTGAACCGGATTTGCTGTAGTTCCACTATGGGCTACAAGCCCAATTTTAAGGGAAGGTAATGGATCTTGTTTATACGCAAAGATTTCGGAGACATATTTCATATAAAACAGATTGAATTATAAATTTTTTAAGTTATTCACTTACTTTAGGGCCTTCCTTTGAATAGCATTATAAGCTTTGTCAAAGGTTCTAGATGGTTTTAACCCTTGAGTTTTTAATAATACGGTACCACAATGGTCCTATAGACCTAAATGGATCCCCTTGACATCGCCGATATAACCTAACCTAACCTAAGTTATTCATTTTATATAGACTATAAAATGTACAAACTTAAAGACTATATAACAATGAAATCTCCATATATTACATTCTTCAAAAACACTGTTTTAAACCCTTCAAAAAATTGTTTAACCTACAACACTGCGCACTATTCCAACTGCTGCACTATTGTTTTTAAGTTTTTCTATCTTCAGAATAAATTTATATTTTTTTATTGTTTTTAGTTGAGTACAAAAATAGAGCTTCAGTATATAATATTTGCCCCTTCAGTGAATAATTGAGATTTATATTAGTTTAATTTGTGGTTTGTGCAAATATAAAAACATTAAATTTGAAAATGTACGACATAAATAAAAAAATATGAAAAACGATAAAAGATATAAATCATATCAAAAAAAAAATTTTTAAATGATTTTATTTTACTTATAATGGAAATTTAATGGATAGTACCAAGATACTGGACACGTCTAAATGTTAAATTTATTTTACATTAAATATAATTATAATAAAGGTTTACTCTAATGGCTTAAATAATGTTTATACTGAACTGATGTATATATAATGTCTATATACTGAATTTGTAAAACAATATATTTACTTGCAGGTGTACATATTTATAATAAATTGGTGGTATTATATTTTTTTATGCACATACATATGAAGAGATAAACCTAACCGCATAACTTTAGATGGTATAAATTATTCACATATTATAAAATATAATATAGTAAATGTTAAAAATTGCCCGAATCCAAGCCGTGGTCTTCGACATCTGCCGGAAACGGTTTCTAACTCTATTGCGACCAATACAGAAGCATTTTGCATAATATTAAGAAGGTTATATGAAATGCAAGTATATTTAGAAATGTCTAACTGCAGATAATTAATAAACAATTTATGGGTCGAAGCAACTATATGCCTTATAAGCATTATAACTATATTGCGTTCAGATTCTCGTAATACTCAAAATATACCTACTAAAGACTATGTTTAACTGGTTAGTAATTCTTTTGAAATTTATATGAGAGTGATATAGGTAATCTCGATATAGAAATTAATTTTCTCCATGTCAATGGATACTACTGGTTTTCTTTAACAACTCATATACAGTATTTGTATAAGATACAACAAAGTTAATTAGTTAACATTTACAAAAAAAAACTAAGAGGATTAAACAATTGGAGAAAATAATTAAAAATGTCAATGAAACTATCACTAAAAGTTTATTTTTATAAAAAAATAAAAAACAAAAAACAAAAAGAAACAGAATAGTCTTAATTATATCTCTAAGAGTAAAATAACGATTCATTCTATTCACTAGAAATTACTTTACGACCAAAAACTATTTACTTGACTGCAATATTTATATGTAATTAAGTTTATAAAAGTATCTTTTGTTTAATACGATTCGGTGTTAAAATGAAATGAATGAATACAATTCAATTTGTGGATTAGAAAGTCTGTGCCTGCACAATTGCTAAAGAACATCGCATATTGATTATTGCCAATGGCAGTTACCACCGTAAGTCTACTCAAATACAGTAACTTTTAGATACTTTCAGGTACTATGCTGAATGAAAATCCTAACTAAAAAACTCATCAGAAGGTAGAATTTATACAAAAAGTCCACTCAGCCACGTAATAACTTCTAACATGCAAAATAAAGCAGGTAATAAAAAGTCGTAAAAACAAGAAGAAAAAAATGGATCTGTAGTTTATGGTAAGACGATTGAAATTGTAGGAAATTTATGTGTGACATAAAGTTACCAGAATAACAGACAGTCTGTGCATCTGTGGGATTGGATTTGTATGGAGAAGAGGAAGTAGTAGTAGAGTAGTAGTAGCAATAGTGCCACTGACACTGGCAGTGGCAGTACCATATTCATATAAAGGCATAAACTTTATATATATTTTTGTTCTTCTTTCATTTCTGCTCAAACTTTTATAAAGTTTCATAACTTTGACAAGGTACTTCGGCGTCGTGAGGCAACAGCATTTTACTAGTTCTATGAGTTAATAGCCAAACTGAAGGTACGAGTACGAGAAAGTAATTGTTATGGAAGTAATACAAGTTAAATTTAAAAAACTACTTAAGTAACTGTTTTCATACGAACTGACATTAGTTTTAATTATAAATTGTATAATGGCAGGTATTAAGTATTAAGAACAACTATAAAGAAGTTGCAGGAAGTTATGTATTTTATCTAAAGGAATTTGAATTGATTTCATGCATTTCTAAAATATATTATAGTTTTATAGTCATTCAGTTAAAAAGATAAGAAATAATTTAATTGTTACTGAAAGTTAATAATAAATGCTGATGGAATATTATTATCATTAGTTATGAATCAGCTGCATGGAAATTTTGTAATTGCTAAAAATGCACACTACAATTCAACGACGCTTCAAAACTACTTTCTAAAATGAATATTACTTTTTAAAGTAAATCGAAGTCTTACTTGGAAGTGAGAGTCCATATATTTCAACAAAATGAAAATTTTAACAAAATTTAAGTTAATACCATGTTTACACTTCACCATTAGCAGACCACAATTAAGAATAATTGCCCAAAAGTTTACACAACAGCAAATTAATTAGCGAATAAGGAAACAAAATGAAGATACAAAAAGGAAATATATATTCGGATGTATGCTTTTCCATATGATTAACCTTTGAATTTCAACAATTGCATATGTGGTTGCCATATTGGATTATTTCAAGATAGCATTGCCTTAATTGAAGTCAATTAATAAGTTATACTATTTTCAGATACACCTTAACTTCGCAGAAATCTTAATTTCATCTTCGTTTCAGCGAAATTAAGTTGTTGTTTCCATACAAAATTCAGAAGTTAAGGGACATTTTAAATGCAACTATGCGTAAGATAAATTTTTAACGAAAGATAAATTTGAGATAATGAAAATGTGACATTTTTATGACCCCGAGAAAATATTTTCAAAGCAGAGCAAATTTTTAAATTTGAATATAGAAAAAAAACTGTAACTGTTATTAATTTAAAATGGAATGAAAAATAATAATTTCTATACCTGACATCTACTAAAACCAATAACACTGCTGAATGCCATCCTTTATAGTTATAATAATCAACTTTTAAAATTTCCCAGATACAAATGGTATTTGGAGCATAAAATTTAAAACATTCGACTTGTAAACAAAAAATATTTGAACTTCTTAATTTGAGGCAGTATGAACACTTTCGAAATTAACTTAATTTCATTTTTACGAAATTAAGGAAATTTGGCTATCTGCACATAGTATTACTGTGCTGTTTTATTACCGAAAAAGTCATTGAAATTATAAATACGATTGAAGAATACAAGTTTGCCACGAAATGTGGATTAACCACAAAACAATCTTATAGCCTATTTACATGGCACGAGTAAATCTTCATTAACTGCTGTTGTGGATTGTGACGTTGCTTTTGTGCTTGTATTTGTCATATTGAAACGTATCTACCATAAAAATGATGTGAAGAAACTGTTTTTCGTTCTTCTTTTTAATGCTTATTCTTCATAAGGTAAAAATAAAAAAATTTCTTCTTGTTAATCAACATTACTTTGTTCTTATGAAATCTCTTTATTTCCATATTTCTAGAAAACAGCT